ATTAAAGAATGTTCAAGAAAAGAGGACAAAGATTCTTCCTCATGATGATGTCAGTGATGACATATACCTTTAGCTGGTGGAGGTTCTGGTTTCTTAGGCACAGGAGTAGGTTCTGTTTTTTTAGGCACAGGCACTTTTTCTTCTGGGACAGTTTTCCTGGGCACCTCAGGCACTTTAAAGACAATATTTCTGTTTACTTTTATGATTGTTAAAGATATGTACAAAACAGTAAGAAGAACAAATAAACAAAAGTTATGAATATCAAAATGTATTTATGAAGCAACATTCAAATACTAATTAGTCACTTAACATAACACACACTTACACAGTACAGTTCACATGATGAATACACTTAACATATCTTAAATAGCTGATAGACAGGAAAAAGTATGTTAAAATACTGTTCAAGAAGAAAAAAGTAGTAATACTGATCTATCTGAATTTTTAGCTGGTGGAGGTTCTGTTATATTAGGCACAGTAATTGGTTCTCTCTCTTCTGGGACAGCTCTTTTAGGTATCTCAGGTACTTTAAAGATATTAGTTTGCTTTATATTATAGTACTCAACATATGTACAAAACATTAAGAACAATGAAACATAGAAGATGAGATATCAAAAACATTAGAGATTCAATATTCAAACTTTGATTAGTCACTCACACTCTGACACTCAGTACAATCTACTCAATGAGTACAATTTACAAATCTCAGATAGGAAAAAATGGACAACAATAAAGATGTTAACATAATGCTCAAGAAAATAAGACAAAGATTTTCTTCATGATGACATTGAGGATGACATGTACCTTTAGCTGGGGGAGGTTCTGGTTTTTTAGGCACAGCAATAGGTATTTTCTCTTTTGGGACAGCTTTCTTGGGCACCTCAGGCACTTTAATGATATTAAGATCTTTTACTTTTATGAATGTCGAAGTTGTGTATTTTGCAGAGGAGACAAACAATGAAACATAAAACTTGGACATAATCAAGACATTAATGAGGTCATGTTCAAACAAGGAGTCTCTCTCTGTCTCACACACGCGGTACAACAAGGGTGTCAAATGCATTTTGTGAAAAAGATGAACTGCATTTTTAATTATGATCCCTCTGTCTGGGTATGAATTAAGGTACATCTACCCAGTCTATTAACAGCAGTACTCACAATGGAAGGGACTGCTCAAATATCAATAGTGAAATCTGACCTTTATGTTGTAAATAAACGTTTAGTTGTTATCAGCATTCACTGTTTGTGCAGTAATCTGTCTACACATTCCACATGGGAGTGGGGGAGTAGAGGGGAACATTCAACACTCCCTTATTTCTGCCCTTTCTTTCTATTCCTTCTATATCTACCTCTGTCTCACTCTTTTCTTGTCTTTGTATGTCTTCTCTTTTCTTCCCACTGCATTTCCTTCCCTGTATAAACTTCCAGTTTCACTGCTATCTGCTAGACTTCACTACCACCCTTTCCTCATTACATCCATTAAAATGAAAAATGCTACATTAATATGTCATCATTATGCTTTGGAATTAATGCCCAGTGAATTTAAGTGTGTATGTGGGTGTGCAGAGGGAGCAGGAGAGGAGAAGTTAATACCTCTCACATACATTGCTTCAGGCTATCAGCAGACTCACAAAGAGAGCACTGCAGAAGTTAAGGGCATGTCTACATTTCCCTGCAGTTTGGACTAGGGGGAGTGGGTAGCAGTGAGGACCAAAGTGCTGCACTGTAACTCCCCCATGTGGACACTGCGGACGTGAACTTAAAAGTCTTGACAGGTTTCAGAGTGGTAGCCGTGTTAGTCTGTATCAGCAAAAACAAACAAGGAGTCCTTGTGGCACCTTAGAGACTTGAGTCTTGAGTTCACATAGTGCAAACTTGGGACCTTTAAGTTTGCGCCCACAGCTTCAATACAGGGGAGTTACAGCTCAGAACTTTGGTACATACTTCTACTCTCATCCCCTCATCTGAACTGTGGGGCAGTGTAGACACACCCTTAAATTGAGTTCAGATTTGGCAAGTTTTTCTCATAACAATAGTTTCACTTTTTAAAACCACAAAATCTTAGATTCTGAGCAATCTGCATACATGAAGCAGACCAGGAAAATATTTCCTGTGACCACATACAGTAAATGAGTCAAGTATTTGACACCAGCAGTACAATTCAAACAAGTAGAATTTTCAAATCTCAGGTGGCAAAAAATGGACAGGACAAAGTATGTGAAAAGTGATGATGGTCAAGAAAATGAGACAAAGATTTTTGATGACATGCACCTTTCGCTGGTGGAAGTTCTGTTTTCTTAGGCACAGCCAGAGGGACTTCCTCTTCTGGGACAGTTGTCTCAGGCATCTCAGGTACTTTAAAGATATTAGTTTGTTTCATTATACAGTTATCAAAATGTGTGCAAAACATTAAGAAGAATGAAACATAGAACACAGAGATATTAAAAACATTGATGATGCAATATTCAGGCTTTGATTACTCATTCACACTCAGCACTGTTTGCTCAGTGAGTACACTTTACAGATCTCAGATAGGAAAAAGTGGACTAGACAAAAATGTTAAGATAATGTTAAAGAAAATAGGACAAAGATTCTTCTTTAAGATGATATCCATGATAACATGTACCTCTAGCTGGTGGAGGTTCTGGTATTTTTGGTACAGCAACAGGTACTTTCTCTTCTGGGACAGCTTTCTTGGGCACTTCAGGCACTTTAAAGATATTAGTATCTTTTACTTTTATGAATGTCAAAGTTGTTTATAAAACAATAAGATGAACAATGAAACAAAACAAGGATGTATTCAAGACATTAACGAGTTGATATTCAAACAACATTTAGTCTCTCTCTCTCTCGCATACACACACACGCACACAGAGTATAGCAAGGGTGTCAAACATATTGTGTGAGAAAGCTGAATTCCATTTTTATTTCTGATCCCTATGTCAGGGTACAAATGTAAGAATTTATGCCTCACTCTACACAATGGGTAACTCCCAAAGGGAGGATGAACACAGATCAGTCATGGAATCTGACCTTTATGTAGTAACTAAAATCTTAATTATAATTATTCAGAGTTTTTTCAGTACTCTGTATTTACATTCAGCATCACATGGGAAGAAATGAACTCCCCTTTAGGATTATCACTATTTCTACCCTTTGTTTCTATTCTGTTCATCTCCCTCTACTATTGTTTTGGTGAGACTCCTCTTTTCTTCCACCTGTAATTCCTTTTCTGCATTGCCTTCCCTACTCATTGGGCTTCCCCTCTCACCCCATTCCTCATTTCATCTGCTACAATGACCCCGGATTAAATAATTAATGATTTTATTAAATAGCTACCATTGGGTTTTGGTGTTAATGCTCAAGTAAATGGGGGATGGGGAGGACAGAGTTGTTTACACCTCTCTGATCCATTACTTTAGACTGCCAGCAGACTCAGAAAGACAGCACTGCATTAGTTTACATTGGGTTCACATTTAGAAAGTTTTCTGCACAATCATAAGCTCTTTTAAAAATATCAGGCCTTGAGTGTTTTGAATATGTTAAACAACCATGACAAAAAATATCGAATGGCTAGATATATTCAGTGGACCAGATGTTTGACACCCCTGGATTACATCTCACACACTGAGTAGAATCAACAAATCTCAGATATCAGAAAATGGACTGGACAAATTCAGCTAAAAATGAGGTTTAAGAGGATAAGTCTAAGGCTCTTCCTTATGATGATATCGCTGAGCACTTGTACCTTTAGCTGGTGGAGGTTCTGGTTTTTTAGGTACAGCAACTGGTACTTTCTCTTCTGGGACCACTTTCTTGGACACCTCAGGCACTTTAAAGATATTAGTGTCTTATTATTTGTATGAATTTCAAAGATATGTTTGAAATTTTAAGAACATTAAGGAAACATAAAACTCAGGGACATCAAAAACATTGATGATGTCAGATCTAAACATCAATTCCTCTTTCATTCTCTCTCCAGGAAATTTCCCCTGTGCATTGGTCTTCTTCTGGAGCTCTGTGCTTGGCTGAATTTCATCCTCTTTTTCTATTCCCACCCCCACACACATACTACAGTTTACACAACAAGAACAATTTACAAATCTCATAGTAGAAAAAGAACTGTATGTTCAAACAGTACTCCAGAAAATAAGACAAAGATTATTTATGATTTCATCAGTGATGACATGTACCTTTAGCTGGTGGAGGTTCTGGTTTCTCAGGCTCTTCAACTGGTACTTTTTCTTCAATAACAACTTTCTTTGGCACCTCAGGCACTTAAAAATATTAATATTAATACCTTTCACTATGAGAAATTTCACAAATACATTCAAAGTATTAAGAACAGAAAAACAACATAAAACACAGAGAGATCAACAATGTTAAAGAGCCTACCATATTCCACAATCAGTTTGGAATTCACTTACATGTAATAAGTAGGTTTTACAAATCTCAGCCAACAGCAAGAGACCAGAGAAAGGTCTTTGCTGTTGTCTTTAAATAATGTTCAGAAGAAAAAGACTATGATTTCCTGCCATTGTTTTTTCTCCCCAATAATGACATGTACCTTTAGCTGGCGGAGGTTCTGGTTTTTTAGGCACAGCAACTGGTATTTTCTCTTCTGGGACCACTTTCTTTGGTACCTCAGGCACTTTAAAAATATTAATTTATTTTTATGTTAAGAATTTCAAGTATACATACAAAGAGTTAAGAACAGAAAAGCTGCAATAAGAACACAAAAGAGGATCAATGATGTCTGGCTTAAAAGTCTGCTCTTACACATAGTACACATTACACTATTTTACTCCACTGTTGAATGAGAATGATTTAAGTATAAAGAGGAGAAGAGAATCCCCCAAAACGAAATGTATAAAATTGCAGATTACAGTGGGGAAAAAGATGGCTCAAAATTAATATTTAAAAAGTTACAACAGAAGGAACAAGATAAATTATTGCCATGATTTTATCAATGATAATGTGTACCTTTAGCTGGTGGAGCTTCTGGTTTTTTAGGCACAGCAACTGGTACTTTTTTCTCTTCTGGGGCAGCTTTCTTGGGCACCTCAGGCACTTTAAAGAAAGAATATTTGTTTTGGTTATTATAAGGAATTTTACAGATACATATAAAATGTTAAGACTAAGAAGAAAACACAAATTATGGAGATCATCAATGAAGTCATCGGTTTGACAAACATATATTGGTCTTATCCTCCCTTCCACTAATATAAGCATATTTCACTGTTATACCCTGTACTCTTCAGTACTTGCTGGATTTTTTTCTCTTTCTTGGGTAAATTATTCTGTCATTTTAGATTGACATTTGGCTATGGCTGACATTGTCCATTCCACATATCTGCCCTTTCGCCCTAACATTTCTCATCTCTACAACTTCTTTCCATCCACACATTGTGGGCCTCATCCTACCCCAACTGAAGCCACTTGGGCCTGGGTCATTCAGCAAGTTCCTTGAGACTCTTTAATCCCCTTTTGATCTGACCTCCTAATGTTTGCCTGAAGGACCACCCTCTTGCCTATTTTGTTAGGCAAATATCCTTAACAACCATCAACACTGATGAGAGTTATGGTTAAACAACAAAGAGATTAGAGCCATCAAATGAATAGGTTTCTCACAATAAAAAATAAATAAGGCTTACTTAACATAGAACATTTGCAAGAACATGGCAAAGGTCATTTTTTTCCCCACCCCCTGTTGTTTTAGCTGTGGTGAGATGTACCTTTGGCTGGTGGGGCTTCTGGTTTTTTAGGCACAGCAACGGGTACTTTCTCCTTTGGGACTTCCTTGGGCACCTCAGGCACTTTAAAGAAACAGCATTACTTTCTGTTACATTTCAGAATTTCCAGGGTATGCAAATTATTAAGAATAAAAAGAGCAATCATAAAAGCATATCAGGAACATTAGTAATGTCAAAGAGTGCTTTGTTATACACATAACTCAGTGTGTTACATCTATTTAAGAAATCTTTAAATGAGAATTAAAAAAAACCACAACCATTAATTTCCAAGAGAAGAAGATATTTTTTCTTTATAAGATCCCCACTGTTAATATGTACCTTTAGCTGGTGGAGGTTCTGGCTTTTTAGCAACTGGTATTTTCTCTTCTGGGACAGCTTTCTTGGGCACCTCAGGCACTTAAAGATATTAGTGTCTTTTACTTTTACGAATTCCAAAAATACATATAAAATATTATGAACAGAAAAGTAACAAAAAACAAGTGGACATGAAAGAACATTAAAGAAGCTAAATATAAATACCAGTTGTTAACACAAACATTCTGTACAAATTACAAAGAGATGTTTTCATCACAAAATTTCCATTGGCCCATCATTCTTCTAGCCACGGCATGGTTGCCAGAGCTATTCACAGGAACTTCAGTTGTTCTTATTTAGCCAATTGGTGGCATACCATCCAAACTGGCAACTCTAGAGACTCTCAATTGACTGGAGGAATCATAGCAACTGGCCCAAGGGTCTTCTGTTGCTCCCATGCAAATCAATAACCAATTATCCAATAATATCAATGTGAGCTTTATCAAATGGGAACTTTGCAATATTATGATCTGCTGGTTGTGGATGGATTTGATGGATCTTGTGAAGGCATTTACAATGACTGTTACTGGGGTACCATTGAGGCACCCCTCGAAATACAACACAGGAAAATTTCTAATGAAGTTTTTTTGTTGAGTCACAAACAAAACTGGATTCTAAATGAAAAAGGCCTTTGAAAACATATGTTTAAAAAAGGATAAGAAATGCTGACATTAAAGAATCATTGTGTTTTCCATAACTCCCCTGACTTAATAGATTAAGTAGGGAATGGTAACATACATATTCTGACTTATGATATTGAAATATAAAAATGAAGAATTGTTAAATGGTAAGATTAAGATCTTTATTTGCTATATTTGAATGAATTGTAATTAAGGATAGTGAATGAGTATAGATAAGATGACAAACACTTAGCACAACACCTTGCTTGGCATAAATGTGGTTTTGCCAATTACTGTTTTGCATAGAATTTCCGATTTGTTTTAAATGATATTATTGATGGCACAATAAGTAATATGTTTTGTTGGAAGATGTAAATCAGAGGTACACAAACATGTAATGATAAATAAAAACATCCTTTTTCTGGGAAGGCTAGGAACGGGATGACACAGAACAACATGACCTAGAAACTGCAAAACCAGCAGAAAAATGCAGAAGTTGGGTTATTGAAGCTTGGTCATGCGTAATGTATGAGTTACATAAAAAATAAAGGGTTTATGTGGTAAAAGCCAATTGGATAAAGGTTAAGTAATCTGGAATGTGGAAATGTATAAAAAAACCTCAGGGAACAAGCCTCAAACAGGAGAAACACTGGACCAGAAACTGAAGAACAGGAATGCATGACGAGACCAGGAGATCAGAGGAGGTGACAACCATCATGGAAGGTGGAAGGACTTCCTAGTACTCTGGAATGTGGTAACTTGGGCCCCTACTAATTCCATCTTGTCTGTTATTGTCTGGCATAAACATATGTTCAGACATTATAAGTGAAAATAATTCTGTCTAAAATTGTATAAATAAAGGCAAAAATTGATTAAGCCTAAATTGGGTTGACTTGTGACTCGGTTTTCCTATTTAAACCCAGCAGCTGTGATATTCATTTGGTGGGAGTATTTGCACTGTAAGGATTGCCTGTATGTGGGCTTAGATATATTATTTTTATTGATTATAATATTTAATACAATTTCATCCCTTTCTCTTTCAGCCAGTTATCTGACATCCTTTTATATGCCTTGAGAATGGGAGTTACGCTTGCACATCTTGGGGAGAAGAAACTGGCAAATGAAAAGACTTTACCGACTATTTGATGAGGACCCTCCCCCCAAAAAAGAAAGAAAGAAAAGAACAAGACAGGATAAACTTCAGGAAATATAATGATTACAGGAGAAAAAGAAAGATTATTTTTGTTCATGATTTCATTTATGATGCTTTATACCTTTAGCTGGCGGAGCTTCTGGCTTTTTAGGTACAGCAACAGGTACTTTCTCTTCTGGGACAGCTTTCTTGGGCACCTCAGGCACTTTAAAGATATTCATTTATTTTAATTTAGGAATTTAGAAATTCCAAAGATGTATGCAAACAATTAAGAATAGTAAAGAAACATAAGAAAGTGACATACATAACATGAATGATGCCAAATCCTGATGAGAGTTTGACACACAGAATTTACAAATTACGGAATGATTACAATTTACGAATAAAGTCCTAGACAAAGAAGATTTTTTTCTCCCAACACAAGACTCTTTATAAAAACTGCAATTTTATCAGTTAACATATACCTTTGGCTGGTGGAAGTTCTGTTTTTTTAGGCACAGCAAAGGGTTCTGGTTTTTTCGGTACAGCAGTAGGTTCTGGCTTTTTAGGCACAGCAATTTGCACTTTTTCTTCTGGGACAGCTTTCTTGGACACCTCAGGCACTTTGAAGATATTAGTTGGTTTTAAGAATTTATAACATATAAGAAACAGAACGCAACATAAAACAAAGATAGACAAATTGGTAAAACAAGCAAGGAGCAATTAGAACCAACACACTGACTGAATATATTGAACATGAATTAAACCATGCACATGAATAATTGTATTTTTCTGGAATTCATTGATTGGTAAATTCCTTGAAGAGGTGATGTACCTTTAGCTGGTGGAGATTCCTCTTTTCTAGGAATAGCAGCAGAAACTTTTTCTTCTGGGGGAATTTCCTCATAAACCTCAGGTACTTTAAAGATATTAGTTTTCTTTTAGAAATTTCATAATTACTTACAACATCTTAGAACAAAAGACAACATGACAAACAACAAATGTAGGGCCCTATCTTGCAGTGGGATACACAAAGCTGCTCTTTACTACTTCTCAGAAGTAGGCCAATTGCCAGTAGGCTACCCCATGAAACAAAGTCTATTGTCTGGCTATACCAAAAGAAGGACAGGAGACACTTGATATGGATTTAATAGGCTGCAACTTTACTATATAGATTTCTGGGACTACCCGGCAGATAAAGTGAACAGTGCAGGCAAATCCGTGTTTATTCAAATAACTACCTGGGGCTTCCACCAGCCCCCCTTCATTTTCCATCCAGGTCCCCCAACCAACCCATGGCTTGCACCTTACCATCCACCCTCCCTTGTTGGAGGGTTAAGGTGGGCTATAAGAAAGAGGGGCTGGCTCCCTGCCGGACCAATCATAACAGTCCCCAACTCCCCTCCCCCGTTCTGTTCCTTTATCCAGCACCTCCTTTTAAGTCCTTTACTAGGTCATTTATTTGGTTACTGGATGCCTTCCTTATGGAGTACCTGCACTGGACATCTGCCCCACACTTACAAAATAAGCGGCAACATATAGCTTACCACCTTCTCTCCTCACCAGAAAAGGTCCTCATTGACACTCACTGTGGGAAAGGTAAAAAAAACCTCCTTCCACCACAGGCAACATGGTGGCGAGGGGAAAATTCCTTCCCCTGCCCCCTAAAAAGAAGCGACTAACACAATGGCCACATCAGGGTTTATATCGGACAGAACATTAATTACACATTAAAAGAGGTTAGAAAACAATAAATGAAGAAATTTTTCTGCCCTTGAAATTCCAGTCAAAGGTTCATGTACCTTTAAAAGGTGGAGCTTCTTCTTTGGGTGCAACAATAGGTACTTTCTTTTTGGGGACAGCTTTCTTTGGCATCTCAGGCACTTTAAAGATATTAGTTTGTTTAGGAATTTTAAAAATATCAATATAGAGAATTAAGAAACAAAATACACAGCCTTTATAAAATAACAAAAAGCTAGTAGAACAAAAAACTAAATTAATGATATTAAACTATGAAGACTAGTGACTCAAATTTTCTGGAATTCACTGCTTTATAATTCCAGTGAAGAGTTGATGTACCCTTAGCTGGCAGAGCTTCTTCTTTCCTAGGGACAACTGTAGGTACTTTTTCTTGGGGGACAGTTCTCTCAGGAACCTCAGGCACTTAAAGATATTAGTTTTTCTTTAGACAATTCAAAATTCTTACAAAAGCCTAAGACAAAAGCCAAACACAAACTACAAACTATGAACAGAAACAAAGGATACTAACAAAACACAATATTATCCAAGGTCCCTAGCATTCTGCAATACTGGATTTTTATTGTTGCAGAATCATAGAACCATAGGACAGGAGGGGACCTCAAGAGGTCATCTAGTCCAGTCCTCTGCACTCATGGCAGGACTAAGTATTATCTAGACCATCCCTGACAGATGTTTGTCTAACCTGATCTTAAAAATCTCCAATGATGGAGATTCCACAACCTCCCTAGGCAATTTATTCCAGTGCTTAACCACCCTGACAGTTAGGAGGTTTTCCCTAATGTCCAACCTAAACCATCCTTGCTGCAATTTAAGCCCATTGCTTCTGGTCCCATCCTCTGACATTAAGGTGCAATTTTTCTCCCTCCTCTTTGTCACAACCTTTTATGTACTTAAAAACTGTTATCATGTCCCCCCTCAGTCTTCTCTTCTCCAGACTAAACAAACCCATTTTTTTCAATCTTTCCTCATAGGTCATGTTTTCTATACCTTTAATCATTTTTATTGCTCTTCTCTGGACTTTCTCCAATTTGTCCACATCTTTCCTGAAATGTGGCACCCACAACTGGACACAATACTCCCATTGAGGTCTAATCAGCATGGAGTAGAGTGGAAGAATTACTTCTCATGTTTTGCTTACAACACTCCTACTAATACATCCCAGAATGATGTTCGCTTTTTTTATTTTTTGCAGCAGTGTTACACTGTTGACTCATCTATGACCCCCAGATCCCTTTCTGCAGTAATCCTTCCTAGGCAGTCATTTCCCCATTTTGTATGTGTGCAACTGATTGTTCCTTCCTAAGTTGAGTACTTTGCATTTGTCCTTATTGAATTTCATCCTTTTTTTTCAGACCATTTCTCCAGTTTGTCCACATCATTTTGAATTATAATCCTATTCTCCAAAGCACTTGCAACCCCTCCCAGCTTGGTATCGTCCAGAAACTTTAAAAGTGTACTTACTCTCTCTGCCATTATTCAAGTCATTGATGAAAGTATTGAATAGAGTCAGACCCAGCACAGCTCCCAGGATCCCACTTGATATGCCCTTCCAGCTTGACTGTGAACTACTGATAATTACTTCTAGGAACAGTTTTCCAACCAGTTATGCACCCACCTTGAAATATGTTTTTTAGGTTTGATCCTGTATTAATCATTCATACAAAGTTTAAGGGTTTGTGGCAAAAATCAATTATACCACAGAATGAACTTGTTGCAGTAGCTTGTGCCTCAGAATTGTATTACTGTAGAGTCTACCTCTAAGCCAATGCAGTAAACTGGGGCCTTGGATATCTCACACAGAACATTGAATCAACTTTAAAAGAGGCTAAAACAGAATACGGTAAAGATATCTTTTCTTTCAGTGAAATTCCAGTCTGAGCTCATGTACCTGTAATTGGAGGAGCTTCTTTTTTAGGTATGGCAGCAGGTATTTTCTTTTGCTGAACAGCTTTCTTGGGCACTGCAGGCACTTTAAAGATATGAGTTTCTTTTAAGAATTTATAAAATACAAAATGTAAAGAACAGAAGGGCAATGGAAGACACAGATGGACAAGACAATCAAGGAGTAGTTAGAATGAACACATGAATTATTTGCATGGAACCAGATATGGATCATGAGGATGAATAACTGTAAGGTACTGGAGCTCTTTGCTTTATGAATTGCTTGAACATGTGATATACCTTTAGTTGGTGGAACTTCCTGTTTTGTAGGAGCAACAGGAACTTTTTCTTCAGGGAGAATGTCTTCATAAACTTCAGGCTCTTTAAAGATATTAGTTCATTTTAGACATTTCAAAAATATTTGCAAAACAAAGATTAGAAAGACAATTTATAGTGCAAATATGCAGACACATAAAGCAACATAACTACCTGAACACATGCATAAATTAAGGAGACATCATCAATTTAAATACCACACTTCTATCTGATTTTTTTTTAACCTACTGTTGCTGCAATACCAATTAAGATTACTAAAAAAAGATTGTGTGTTTGTGTGTGTATGTGTAGGGTTATAGGATATATATTTTTCCTCTGTTTTTCCAGTTAGTTTAATTTTTATATTGGACAGCACTCTTTGTATAGTCAATTTCACAGTTTCTCCTGTGTAGTCAGTTATGCCCAGGAAAGCACAAAGCATTACTCAAGACAGCATTTAAGCTGCACCTACTCAAGTCCCATCAAAGTTAAACATTGCATAAATGCTTTCCTGAATCAGAACCTGAGCCTATTTCTTTGTGGGTCTTTCCCAGAAAGTAACATGGCAGAGAAAAATATTTTAAAAATAGAAAAATATGATTGGAAACAAAAAGGCATAGAGACTCAAGAGCGGTGATGGGGATGAATCCGAAACTAATTGTAAATCATTTTTCTTTCAATTTAAATTTGACGGTGTCCCTCTAATTATATTGAAAACAGACTGCACCATGAAGCTGATTAATTTTCTGCAGTTCGTTGCTTTGTAACTCCAGTGAAGAGTTGATGTACCTTCATATGGAGGAGCTTCCTCTTTTCTAGGAATAACAGTAGGTACTTTTTCTTCAGGGACAACTCTTTCAGGAACCTCAGGCACTTAAAAGATATTAGCTTTCTTTTAAAACTCTCAAAATTATTTGCAAATCATAAAACAAAAATCCAACATAAACAAAGACAACAAAGAATAACTAATAAAAAAGTACTGCCAAAGTCTCCAGTATTCTGCAGTTCTGTAGGAGCTAATATTATTCAATTATCACAGATTTGAATGATTTGAAGTGTTAATACCATATGGAATAGATTCCATTCATTCTTTTCCATTTGTATTTGCCCTCCTTTCTTCCCAAGATACAAGGGACTACCTTGAATTATTTCAACTTGATATCTGTGGCACAACCAGTTTTAAATACATATTTAAAAGCCTTCTTTACAAATATTGTGTATAAGTTATTCTCTAACATTTTCAATTTAAACAAATTTAAACAAAATTCACTTATATACTTCTAGCACTAAAATGTTGGGGGCCCAATATACTTCTAGAACTAAAAAGTTGGGGACCCCTTCCCCCTTAATTTCAAGAGAGTAAAGTGCAGTTACTCAATTGCACTTTAACAGCTGTTAGTTAGGAGTGAGATAAAGATGAAGTCTTTCCATAAAATTCCAGTCAAAGGTTCCTCTACCTTTCATTGGTGGAACTTGTATTTCAGGAGTAGGAGTGGGTAGTGTTTCTTCAGGGACAGCTCTCTTGGGTACGGCAGGCACTTTAAAGACATTTTTTAACTTTTAGAACTTTTAAAGTTACTTAGAGGAAGTCAGAAAAAAGAAGAGCAGAGCCCAGAAAGACACGCTTGTAAAACAAGCGAGAATTAAATGCTTCTTGCAGGACATTCATGCTGATGAAGATATGAGAGAAGAATAGGTCTAAGTATAGTTTTCATGTACCTTTAACTGGTGGAGGCTCCTTCCTTTTAGGAACAGCCAAAGTTACTTTCTCTTCCTGTACAGCTCTCTTATGTACTTCAGGCACTTTAAAGATATAGTATTTTTTTTAGGAATCTTACATATACAACTTCATAAATCATTACGAACAGAAAGGCAACGTGAGACACAGGATCATACTTAATTAGGACAAACAAAGAATCACTGAGACAAAGTATATTCCTGTCTTACGCAACAAACAACGAAGATCAAAGACTTAAGTAAGAGTTCATTGTTTCGTAATGACAACAAAGAATAGATGTACCTTTAGCTGGGGGAGCCACTTCTTTTTTAGGAACAGCGACAGGTACTTTTTCTTCTGGGACTGGTTTCTTACGCAGTGCAGGAACTTTAAAGACATTGCTTTCTTTTAGGAATTTTGCAATATTTATATTATTTAAAAATAAAAGTGACACAAGAAACCAAACATAAAACTTTAATTCAACAGAAAAATCACAGAAATTAAAAGAACACAAGCACACAGCATCCTACGTCACATTTATTAACTTGTGAGCTGGCTGGCCATGCCTGTGCTTCCTGATTCTTGGTGTGTTCAATCTCCTTTCAATACACATGACTAACTCCTTATTGGATTAATTTCAGATTGGGATGGACTTTTAAATAGTCCTTTTAGACAGATTATGAAATATTGCATGAACTAAGAAGTCGTATCCTGCTATTGATATGCAAGCAAAACTCCCATTCAACTTTAGGAGGTAAATCCTACACTCTAGTTTTGGCCTCAATTTGGCCCCATTAAAGTTAATTGAGAGATTCTCAGTGACTTCAATGAAAGCTGGATCAAGGCTTAAATCCTTATCCAAAAATGCCTCTCACTGATTTCAATAGGATAATTTGTATGAGTAAGGACTAGCAGATTTGGCACAAAGGGTGTTTTGTGCAAATATGGCCCTATAGTGAGAATAATATAGAGCTCTGGTCTACATCAGAAAGTATGCTACCTTGCCAATGGCAGTACTATCCATGACCTTTTACTGTATTATCAGAGCATGATATAGGGAACAGACTAGGAGTGAAATCCTGTTCCCATTGACTTCAATGGGGCCAGGTTTTCCCCCTAGAATTATAGCTATAATTGAGAAAGATCCTCACTGTTTTTGAAGATATGGGTAGAAACTGTTCATTCATTTGACATGAAGAGGGGAGGGTGAAAAAAAGGTTTAACAGATTTGAGGTTATTCATCAGCAAGAAATAGCTGGGTGGGCCCTTGTTTGAATAAATTCCCTACCATTTTCAATAGGTTAGGTTTATAAATCTCAATAAATAAATAAAATAATTCCATTCCTTATATGTCATACAAGGATCCAGAGGAAAATTGCCTTCTGAGAAAGGAGCTGCAGGGTTTTGTGTTTTAAAAGAAATATTGTTGATTTTGTATCTTAATCCTAATTTTGACTCAATTGGCAAATAAAAACTCCAATCTTAATGGTTAAATAATAGGAGGGACCTTCATTACTGGAAGTTGGGATTCTGGGGTGACAGAGGGCTTCAGTTTTAAATTTATCCAGTAGCTGATGTACCTTTAGCTGGCGGAGCTTCTTTTTTAGGAACAGCAACAGGTACTTTTTCTTCTGGCACAGCTCTCTTAGGCACTTCAGGCACTTTAAAGACATTGTATTAGGGATTTTTTAAGCTACTTACAAAGAAATAGGATCAATATAAGACATGAAGAGCAAAGATCACATATTTGTAGAACCACATCCTTATCACACACACAAATATAGATGAGAACAATTACTGTGCTCAAAGTTATGTGAGCAGCTGAAAGCTGAGGAAGTTCCTTTTTCAGCAGGGTGGGGAATAATCATTGTCAAAGCACCATCTGGTTGGTATGGGGAATTTCAAATTATAATGATGGGAAGAAAGGTCCTAACTAAGTTTTAACTGCTCTATTGTTGAAAATTATTGCGGGGCAAAACGTTTCTTAAAAGGAAATAGTGCTGCCACCCATAATTATACTGGATGTAGACCATAGTTGAATTGCACCAGAAGGCTGCCATTTATGCAATGTGTAAATTGCTCTAGTCACAGTGAAACAAAGTTGTCTTTGCTTTTGAAGGCTCAGTGGGAGTCTTCTCATCCTACCCCCAAATAGGTTTTCTGAGGTGTGGGAGGGGAAATGGTCCTCAAGTTGATTATCACCACTAACTACAGACACAGAAAGGAGGACTGAAGACAGGAAAAACACAGACTTGAGCACTGAAAGGAGGACTGAGCATGAGGGGGAAACTTGACATACAGAGTTAAGAATGAAAAATCATGAGTTGGTGTACCTATAGCCAGTGTGACCTCATAAGCCTCTTCAGCCTTCTTAATCTCCTCATGCTTCTCATAGACTTCTTCAATCACCTGAACCTCCTCATATTTCTCATAGACCTCTTCAGGCTCTAGAACCTCCTCATACTCCTCAATCTCTTCAGGCTCCGGAACCTCCTCATACTCCTCAATCTCTTCAGGCTCTGGAACCTCCTCATAGATCGCTTCAGGCTCTGGAACCTCCTCATAGATCTCTTCAGGCTCCGGAATCTCCTCATACTCAATCTCTTCATGCTCTGGAACCTCAAACTCTTCTATAGCCTCATAGGTCTCATACTTCTCATACTCCTCATACTCATATTCGTACTCCTTCACTGCAGGAACAGGGGGAGCAGCATCCCGGGTGGGTTTCTTAGGTACCGCAGGAACTTTGGAAATAGTATTATTACTGTTACTACCTTTAAAGTATTGGAAATGACTTGTACAGAGTAAGACAAAAAGAGTCAACAGAAAACCACAGCTTATAAATACAACAACAAGAAGTTTTTGTGAAAAGGAAGAGAGATTCTATGAAAAGTGATTACATTCCAAAATATTTTAGGAACAAGTAAGAGGAATAGATCTTTTGAAGAAATTCAGTAAGGCATGTCTCTACCTTTGGCTGGAGGAACTTCCATTGGTTTAGGAACAGCAGCTGGCACTTTTTCTTCAGGAACAGATCTCTTATGTACCTCAGGGACTTTAAAGATATGGTTTTCTTTTAGAAATTTTAAATGGTTTAACAAAGCAATACAAATAAGAAAGCAACACAAAACAGTCTCACGATTTTGTAGAGCAACAATTAATCTTTGAGACAAGAATACACAGAAATTTGACAGAACATTCAGAAAACGCTGGTGTTAGAAAGAATAAGATCAACAATTTTAACACATATGATAGCTGTCAAGGGCGTATGTACCTTTCACAGCTGGAGGCTCCACTTTTTTAGGAGGAGCAACAGGTATCTTCTCTTCAGGAATAATTTTCTTAGACACCTTAGGCACTTTAAAGACATTATCTGGTTTTAGTATTCTCGTTACACAATATCAAAAACAATGTCCAAGCACATAAATTTACAAACAACAGAAATATAAACCTACAAACAAATATCAAAACACAGAAGTAACACAAGGCACATATATTAAAATGCTTTGTACTAAGAAGTTGAATAATTCACATTAATTAGTGTCAGTGTTCATATTTTCATTTTTAAGCTACTGTACCTTTAACTGTTGGAGCCTCAACCTTTTTAGGAACAGGAACTTTCTCTTCAGGGACAGGTTTCTTAGGCACCTCTGGCACTTTAAAAGACATTTGATTTTTAAAATTTCATTTTCAAGCAACACCAGAAAAAGAAAGAGGACATAAAATGCCAGGACACAATGAAAGCAAGAACTGAGCTAAAGAACATACTGTAAGTGTTTTTAAGGTGGAATCAGGTTACAAACAACAGACACTTTCTCTACAGGGACAGATTTTTCAGGCAACTCAAACACTTTGCAGATGTTTTCTTATGTTAGCAATTTGAGAAATTGTATACATCAGAAACAGAAGAACAACACAGACACAAGTATACAAATGCATGGGACAAAATTACAACTGTATCTTGTAAGGCCTAATCCTGGTGAAGTTAATTTCAAAACTTCAGTGGATGCAGGCTCAGCCTCAGATTGGATGTTAGTGCGGTTATTGAAAATGTAAGGGAATAATAACACTGCTTATTTGCCTTGCAATTAATTCATGTACCTTTTGCTGGCGGAGGCTCCATTTTTTTAGGAATGGCTACAGATATTTTTTCTTCTGGGACAGGTTTCTTTGGCACCTCGGGCACTTAAAGATATTATTTCATTTTAAGAATTTCATTTTCAAGCAACATCAGAAAGAAAAACACAACATAAAACACAAGGACACAAACTTGCACAATAATAATCAATGATATAAAGAATATTCTGTATGTGTATTTCATGGTAACGTTACAGTGGAATTGGGTTGTAAGGATCAGCTTGGGCAACTTTCCCACTGATGGTTATCTACGACACATCATTACCAATCAAACAAACACATATTCACATATTACAAAAAGGGAGGACACAGAAACCCCTTTGGCATCTTATTTTGCATACCAAGAGCTACCAGTGTGTTTGCTTTCTAGTTTAGTTGTAAACCACTCTGCTGAATGGGCATAAATTGTTCAACATCATTGGGTGCTGTCTATACTCAGTTGTCTTCATTTCTGCTTCTGCACAGTTAGGATTTGAGTTCTTGTTACCCAGTCAGATGTGTTTGTACCCTTTTTCTGTAGTAGATTTGGCTGTGCATGCTGTGAAATTTTAGAATGTACTGTAGATCTCTCAGGCTAAGTATGGGAGATTCTTCAGGACACTGAGATCATACCACATCCTTGCCCAAGGGAAAATCAAAGAGAATTCTACCAGATATTTTGTTTAAAAGACACATTATGCCACACAGACACTATGTGCAGGGCACTGCTGCTTTGATTAGCATACAACAAGGCTCTTAGTTTTGCTCTTGGCAGATCATTATAATTGGAAACCAGCTGATCATTAAAGGTCTGATTCTGAGCCCATTGAAGTCAGTGCCAAAGCTCCCATTGATTTCAATGCTGCAGGATCAAGCCCTGTCTGAGCCTTACTATTCCTTAACAATTAACACTGGGGTATGGAAATAAGGATCTAAATTGTGATCACCAAAACCAAATTCCACTGAAATGTCAATGTCCAAATGACAGAACACTCACTTCCATATACCCCAAAATTATGTACCTTTAGCTGGTGGAGTTTTCTTTACTTTAGGAACAGCATCAGGTACTTTTTCTTCTGAGACAGCTTTCTTGGGCACCTCAGGCACTTTAAAGATATTTTGTTTTAACAAATTTAATTGTTAGTACAACATCAGAAACAGAAAACAGAAGACAGCAAACACTTAAAACAACATGTAAGAAGGGAATTACACAAATGTGCCTTAAATTTATTTGGATGTGAAAGATTCAATGGAACAAAAAGTTTTATATTATACAAACACACAAATATATACACACACATGTATACAGTAAGTGTATACACACAGAAACTCTGAATATATAGAATTACTCTCAGTTAGAAGGTGATATACCTTTAGGTGGCGGAGGTTCTGTTTTTTTAGGCGCAGGGATGGGTTCTGGTTTTTTAGGCACAGCAACAGGAACTTTCTCTTCAGGAACAGCTTTTTTCGGGACAGCAGGCACTTTAAGAAATATTATTTTGATTTATGAATCATTGTTATCCTTTCCACCGCTCCAAAATAGAAAGACAACATAAAACATAGGGTATAAATGTGTAAAGCAAAAACCAGTTTTCTAAAAGCTGCATTATAGAAACATTCACAGTGTGGGCTTGATCCTGAACCCACTGAAATCAATGAGCGGTTTTGCTATTGAGTTCTTTTGGAACAGGAACAGACCCCTTACTTGTAATATTCCATATGTGGGCAACCAACGACAGAATTGCTTGGATGCATCACAAACTGATGTACCTTTCACTGGCGGAGCCTCCACTTTTTTAGGCACTGGAACTGGCACTTTCTCTTCTGGAACAGCTTTCTTTGGCACCTCAGGCACTTTAAAGATATTATTGTACTTTGAGAATTTCATTTTTGAACCATAAGATACAGAACAGTGACATGAAACATAAGACCACAGAATAACAATTCTCAAGAACAGAAATATCTTTCTCATCATGATGCATTGAATGATGAAATGGTGAGTAAAGAATGAAAGATTGTGATGTACACATTGAATCACACACTGTTGTACCTTTGGCTGGTGGAGCTTCCTTTCTTTTGGGCACAGGAACAGGCACTTTTTCTTCTGGCACAGGTTTCTGTGGCATCTCTGGCACTTTAAAACATTATTTTGGTTGAGAATACCTCACACATGTCATTCCAAACAGAAAAGCAAAAAGACATGTTCACAAAGATTTCAAATGAAGATATGCCTCCCAAAGAACAAGGTAATAAATGTTTATATCAAACATACAACAAAAACACCCTATCACCCCTGGGTAAACACTTTTCAAATCACTTCATATCTGACCTCTCAGTCCTCATCCTCAAAGTAAACCTGTGCACCATCTTCAAGACATGAGTTTGGGAGATTAAATCATAACTTTACTAGATACTAAAAATCATGGACTCAATAAAGACACTTGATTTATGGCTCATTACAACAATTTGTAACCCGCTAACCCTCCTTTGTCCTACGACTGCAGAGATGCTAACTGCCCATATCACCTTGAATGGTGTCTTGCAACATGTGTTAACTCCTTATGCTCAACTCCTTATGTTTTACCTTATATTTATCTGTGACACACTGAGTACCTTCCCCAGACTTGAAGAAGAGCTCTGTGTAAGCAAAAAAGCTTGTCTCTTTCACCAACAGAAGTTGGTCGAATAAAAGATATTACCTCACCCACCTCATCTCTCTAATATCTTAGAACCAACATGGCTACAACTATGCAGCAAATATTCAACTAGTAGTAAAGTTAATTAAATACTAAACAAAGTTGGATAACTTCAGAGAAGAGGTGATGTACCTTTCACTGGAGGAGCTTCTTTTCTCTTGGGAACAGGTACTTTTTCCTCTGGGATAGGTCTCTTGGGCACCTCAGGCACTTTAAAAATACCATTTTTGTTTTAGGAATTTACTTACAAAACAACAGGAACATAAAGTACAAGAACTAAATTGTAATGCAAGAAAGTTACTCCAGCACAAACAGGAACCACTCAACATCAATTTAATATTAAAAAGACAGGAAACAGCACAATAAAGGGATGTGTTTATTTGTAAGAGCCAAATCCTGCAGTTCTTACTCAGCCATTGATCTGGCAAGGCAAATTTATCTTAATGTCAATGTGGTTTTGCCTTATCCAAGTCTGAGTAAAGACAACATGGTCTGGCCCTTAAAACTAGGCTATTACAGCTGGTCAAAAATGGTGGTGGTGATGAGGAAATTTTGGAAAAAAATCAATTTTTGGTCAAAATTAAAAAGTTTGAGGAAAAATGTCACTAGCTCCAATTATTATATTAAGTATCTTTCAGTTGTGATTCTTTTTTTCCTGTAAGAATAGGTACTAGTATTTTTTTCCTGAGACTACTCTTACACTTAAGGCACTTAAGACATTAAATTTAAGAATGCTGGATGGTCAGATTTAAAATATATATTGAAGGTTCCATTCTTTTTTTCAGAAATGTTAAGTATATTGCTAGTACTCTCTACATGACAAGAAAACATGGGATTTTATCAACTAACTTGCTCACAAACTGGAACTCTTAGCTAATTAGAAGCATCTATACCAGTTCATATATAAATTTAATGGTGAACGGCAGAATGTACCAAGACCGTTTTATTCAACAACAAAGGATAAAATTCTGGCTCTATTGAAGGTCAGTGAGAGTTTTCTCTTTGGAGCAAAGATTTCACCCAAAGAGTTTCTTTAAAAAAATTTTATTCAACAACCCTGAAACGTCAATACAAATTGAATGATGGGATACATGGTAGACTGGAAGAAGTCACTGACCACCTCCCTGGGTAAGGTAATTGGCCTTGTCCTACAATGATTTTCACACATGCTTTAAGCAAGAGAATAATCCCATTGGTTTTGTCTAGATTAGGAAAAGAGGTCAAAATAACATGGAAGTTAACTCCAACAAAACAACAATTTTTTCATGAGTAAAGGCAAGCAGCAACTTTTAGTTTCTTTTAGATGGTCAAGGTAGACTTTAAGTAACCTCCGTCTCTTTTCCTAATCTAGACAAACTATATATTTGCTTTCACAGAGCATAGGCTGGCCTTATTTTCACAAAGAAAAAGGCATATTTGTAAAATGTGTTTACTAATGTGTTGAAATCCTTGTGTTCACAATTCAAAGTGTAGTTTTGATATGTATTAGCTGATCAAAGTAAATCCTAAATTCACCTCTAGGGTGGAGCCACTATGGGGAAAATATAAAACAAGAATTTTGATAAGTCCTTCACTTCCTTTTGAAATTCGGACTTCTCCTAAATCACACAGGCAGTTCTGGATTTTAGCCATTGTCTTTGTGTTATGATGTGAGATGTTGGACATAGAGCTGGATGGGAAAAGGTTTTTCTGTCCTATGAGGAATTTTGAGATTTTGAAAAATTTCCCATCCCCAAATTAGGGCAAAAAGTTGAAATCTCAAAAATGTTGATGAAACAACAATTTTAAGCAGATGGATTAGGTTGATTACAATGCTTAATGTCAATTTCAACATTTTTAAAATAAAAATTTTAGTATAAATTAACTAACATCTTTTAAAAAGTTGTTTCAAACCAAACACTGAAAATTTTTGTTTTGAAAGTGTCAAAACAGAACAGTTTGAAACTTTTTTTTTTTTTTAATATTAGGATTGGGAGATTAGTTGAAGCCTAACATTTCCTGAGAACTGTTTCAGAATCAACAAATAGGCATATTCTTACTATACAATGTTTTGTTGAAAAGTTCCCTCTCGTTTGAAGGTTTTTATTATCAAGAGATTGGGATGACCTGATTACCCTGTCAGTGGAGATTAATATGCGAGGGTGATGGAGACTTCCAAGCATACTCACCAACTGTTCTCCCTATGAAAAAATTTAAAAACTCTGAGAGATGGACTGGATAATCTAATCAGCCCTTTCCATTTCTGGCTTCTGTGATGTTAAAAAAAATCCCACAGATGATTTAGGATTTTCCAAAGCACCAAAGTGAAAGTGAATGGGATTTGTGTTCCTAAATCACTTAGGCACTTTTGTACACTTAGGCCACCCATCATCG